GTTTGACCCTTGCTGTAGGCTAGTAAAAACTAATAAATATTGGTTAAATACACAACATCTGTCTAGACACCTTATGTGTTCACTTACTGTACTGCAATATTGGCATCTCTTAATTTGCATAGCATGCCACAGATATATGTGATCACTTTGGTAATAGTTTAATTGTGATCTTTGAGCATCAAAACATGGGTCTAGACACATTATTTGTTCATTTATCTGCAATATTGGCTGAGATAGAGTGAAAAGTGTGAAAATTCCGTTTTTGGTAATGGTGACACTAATTTGCACACAAAAAGACAACATTTTAACATAGCTCATAATTTTCTACATACTTTTTCCACTTAGGAAACACTGATTATAAGAATATTTCTGTGTCGGTGCAAAATACATCGTTCTTGGTACAAGACTAAAATGCTATTGTCTTGTAATGGCGGCACTAATTAGCATAATAGCATGCCACAGACACATGTGATCACTTTAAGAATAGTTTTATTGTGTTCCTTGACCCTCAAAACATGGGTCTGGATACCTTATTTGTTCAGTTATCTGCAATAATGGCTGAGATAGTGAAAGGTGTAAAAAGAGTGAACCTCGATTTTTAGGGTAATAAACACTAATTTGGGAAAAAATATATACGTGGGACAATTTGTCAACTTTTTAACATAGCTAATCGTTTTCTACACAATTTTTCCAATCTAGAAAAGTCGATTAGAAGTATATTTCAGGGGGGCGCATGATACCCCCTTCTGCCCACCCAACTAAGAGGGTCTGGGGGCATGCTCCCCCGGGAAGACATCTCTCAACACCCTTATGAAACAGAACTGTACAGAGATTTACTTTTTCTTTATGGATAGTTTACTAATCACTCCCATTTTAAACTGTATTCTTGTGTTACTCTCCTATAGTATTTTATACCCGTTTTTCATTTATTCCCTTATTCTTTAATAACTATATGATCATATAAAGGTAGCCTATTCCTCGCAAATACTTGTTTACATAAATGGAGACCAAACCGTTTGAGACCCACTGAGATAACCTACACTAAAGTTAACTATCTAAACACTGAGAGAGTCCTTACCTCACTGAGCTGAGGTTATACGATCCTCTCAGTCTGACAGGAGAGGACTCTCCTCCACCTTGGTGTAGAAACAGCTCTTTATTCCGTTAGCATAGCTAGCTAACCAGATGCTGACAACAACATCCACGTTACCGCTCGCGCACTGACAAAATGCGCTCGTGCCACACACACAGAGAGCCGAGCTTGAAGGAAACACAGAGACCCATGTACTTGTACTGTATATCATATTATTTTCGATGGCTTTACTGTATAATCAGTGTAAAAGATTAACAGATCGCCACTGGGCTTTCATCTAAACACACAGCCACGTAATGATAACAAAGCAAAGATCGGGGGTCATTGGTCAAGCAACACACGAATCAGAGAGCAGCAGTGAGCACACCTCAGGCTGTTTTTCATATTTGTATTATTTATTTCTGATGTATTTCACACAACAAACTTTTAGTGGAAACGTTTTAACTTATATGATTAAAAAAAAAAAACCGGCAAAGTGGCAAGGCTTACCAACCCTGCGTTGGGGTGGCACAGTGACTCATTTGGGGGGGCATGGCCCGCGAATGACCCCCCATGACGCCGACCCTGGTTATAAGGTTGCGGTCGCTAGAATCCGCCAAAGATGGAAGAGTTGCCGTTGATGACATAACATTCCCATTTCCTATACCCAGCCTGCTTCAAGTGCTATTTTGTGAAAGAAAACCAGGCGCAAGCAGGTTCCGTCCAATGAAAGAAATGTTTTAATTAGGTTGAGATCCACTTGATTCACTTTTCATGTGTCAATTTGTTCAGCTCAGATCTAGATTCGGTTCGTACTAACTTTGGTCAAGGAAGGTTAAACATCTGAGTGTTTAAAAACAAACTCCCACACACAAACATGCCATGAGTGTGTGTGGAAAGTGATGTGACGTTAGAGACAGGGTAAGCGACTACGCGTTTAGTTGTGCCAGCTCTCAGGAGCTGTGTTTAAAACCCTCTGGGTGCAATTTAGCCCCTTAGTGCTCGGCAGCTGCTTAAATCCAGAACACCTCAACAGCCTTTGGAACAAGAAGCGTGACTGTGCAGCAATTAGCACCCATCAGCCTGTAAACAATCAGACATCGCTAACCTTGATTAAATCTCCTTCCATGCCTGGAAAAGGAAAGTATAGTTCATGCACAGTACAGTATTTGGTCCCCTTCTTTTTGTGTCTCCTTAGTTATTCAAATGCAGTTCAATCATCATCATCAACACTCGGCTATTATGAATTAAATGAGTGGAACAGCAGCAGAAAATCGATCTCCAAATGACTGAGAATCAATTTACTCAGTGTGATGGTAGAAGTGTGCCAACCCATAATTGAATGGCTGTGTAGAGTGTAACATTTGTATTTCCCAGCAAAAAGTGTCGTTGAAGGTTCAAAGAGATTTGTGAGGCTTTACTTGAAATCTGAGGTTTTTAGGATCCCAGGTTTTTGTTTGGTCCGGTCTTACTACACTCTCAGATTTCAATGAGGGTTCCAAAGGAAACCTTGAGTCATTCATCCAAATCCATGTTCACTCACTCTGTTACAGCAGTTACTATCTGCAGAAATAAAGATAAATGTTGGCCTTGTTGTGCTTCAGCTATCTAGGTAGCTTTCGGGGGCGTCTTGCCGTCATTTGACGCCCTTTATTCAGCTCGGAACGCCCTGAACTCGAGCCGAGGGCGTCTTCGAGATTGAGTTTGTATTGCTTGAAATGACGAAAAGGAAAAAGGATAAGGACATCCCTCTGTTGGAGGGGCAAAGGAGTCTGGTGGGATTATTTTCGCCGCCAGCAAAGCGTGTTCCTGTGATGGAAAGTGTACTGCCGGCGAGCCTTGGCGGGGGTGCTAGTGGAGCACGTGCGTGAACTGCGAGCGCCGGAGCCTCGCAGCGGTGAAACTGAGGCTCCGTGGTAAACTGTGGTAACATGAAGAGCCGTTTAGGAGCCGAAAGAGCCGGCTCTTCTTAGTGAGCCGATTCAAATGATCCGGCTCACTAAAAAGAGCCGACTCTTCTTAGAGACTACTGACTAGTCAACAACTGTCTCTCTTGACTTAATCAGAGAGCCTCTTTGAAAGTGCCTGTCTGGCTTATGAATATGGAAACCTCAGTTAAACAGCATGCTGTGGGCTCTCAGAGGCGGCTTGATGGAGAATAGACTGTGTGTAGTGGTGTATTAAGGAGATGGAGACTGGCTCGGTGAGAGAGAGAGGTTTTGTATCACCCTGCCTAATCAGCAAAGACCGGTTTCAGCATTAGTTTCTCTCCAGAACACATCATCACAATGCTCAGCAGAACATTTAAAAGGCATAGCTCAGCAATACACTGTT